AAAAAAAAAAAAAAAAAAAAAAAAAAAAAAAAAAAACACATCATAGTAAAACCAATACCTTCTCAGCTTCGCATCGAAGCTAAAAATAATAATAACACCGTGTAAAGTATTAATTCTAGTTGCGCTTATAAATTCCAAAAAAATGAGAAACCCGTTTAGATATTAATTTAAAAGCAATTAAAATTACTATTATGAATCTTTGAATAAGAATGTGCATACAAAGTTCTCTATTCGTGTTGAACCTAGTTTTATGACGAATTAAAACTCTTATTTAGTATAGATAATAAGTGTAGTTAGATAAAGTATCAATTATGACTTTGTTAACATATATTCTTAAAGTATGATAGTAAGATATATTATGGAAGTTTTTTAAAAACACTAACAGGCAATACAGAAAACTGCGGAGTGCATCGTTGCGACCCATGCGGAAACGGGGTCGCGAAGGATCTCAGGGAGTGGAGCTCGGGCAGCGTCCTCAGCTGATCGGAGGACCCGCGGGAGAGGTTGTATGGTCCGGCCGATCTCATCCGCCAGATGGCGAACGAACCGTTGTAGGTCCTGCAGGGAATTGTTGGATGGGTTGGGGTCGCTGTTGTTGTTGTTGTTGTTCATGCTGAAACAGATATATATATAAAAAAAAACATAAATATCGTAGTCCGTCAGCCAGTCTGTGGTCTTACGTGTCTTAGTAATTTTTTCACTTTTTCATACATNAAAAGAATTTCAACTGTATATTATTAATAAGGATGAAAAAATAAAAAAAAAAAAAAGTAAGCTTAAACAATTGATAATATTATATTTATGTATTCTCTTGAAAAAAAATTATAACAGAACACTTGTTTAAATTATAGTATTTGTATTTTTATTATTTAAATCAACAACAATATACATGTAATGTAATTATATATTTTTACAAGCACATTATTTAAAAGTAAAATTTAGTGCTATAACTGTAATTATTATTGTTTATTATTATATATTTACAAATTTAAATTTTATTTAAATCACAACTTTCTATGATGGAGATAATTGGTTTGTGATAACTAAAATAAGAAACATAAATTTGAGATTCTATCTTTCGTAAGTATCTTGAAAACACTGCATCAATGGTGGTATTGAATCTTGTTGTTGAAACATTTGGATCATTGTTGATTCTCAAGTTAAATTTTTCAAAAAGAAATTGAACTAGTGGTTTTGATTTTTCATTTGAGAAGTCAATATTGAAATCACCAGATAAAATTAATGGCAATTTATGTAAATTTTTATTATACTCTGCAAAACACTCAGAAGCTTCCTCAGTATATTCAAAAAGTGCTTTATGAATAAATTCCTTAATATCTTTAATTTTCTGACCAGGTGACACATAGATAACGGCTATAACCAATTTAAGACCATTACCCATAATACACTCTGTGGCACAAATATCCGCAACACTGGAACTTCTCACGATATTTTGTTGATCGTTATGTGCTATGACCTCCATGTTTTGAGTTGTTACTATATTGGTTTTATCTTTCTTATTTTGATATATAGCAACTCCAGCTGCAGCAGTGGTATTGCTACGTTTAAAATGAGCAATACAGTTAAAATTAGATATATTATTAAGTTCTTCTTGATTATTCGACCACGTTTCTGAGAGTAGTAAAAAATTGACTTTTTCGGTAACCATATCAATTAAGTCATTTCTGTGTGCTTTAAGACTTTGAATGTTCAAAGTGCATAAAGACAGACCTTTTTTACTACTAATAAAATCAATGATGGCCTGAGTTTTAGTTTGTAATAAATTTAAGGATAGCCTTTCAAACTCTTGATTTAAAGAAACCGTAGATGTCGCTTGCACTCGATTATGATGAAATCGGAATTTGGTTGAGTCGTCATCTGGGGTAACAATAAATAAACCGTCAATACTTGTAACCCGAGATAGTGCGACATAAACAAGTTGTTGTGGATGTTTTTTGTCATATTCATAAACCACTTGGTCAAAACTTCCACCTTGGGATTTATGAATGGTCATTGCAGATGCCGCTAATACTGGAAAGTGTTTTCGCTTGACAATAACAGATTTATTTCGTGTCCAAGTAATGTTTGATGTACGCAACTCAATGGGAACAGCACGCTTACCAATTTTGCTTTGAACAGCCAATGAAGCATATTTTTTTCTTCTTTTTCTACCAACTTTGATTGAACTAAATTCTAACCAAAGACGACAAGGAATGTTGTCTTTGTTAAAATCTATGTGAACCAACTTATCAACAGCGCCATTGACTAATCCATCAGTAACATCAATGTTGGTAGTTATAAGATATTTTTTTCCTTTTACTAAATTTATTTGGTAAGGTAATCCACCAGTATCAATTACTGATTTTTTATGTAACGCCACTCGAATGGACGCTTCATGCTCAGCATTTTTGGATCCAGTAATGACATCTGTAGCTGTAGAAATAACTTTATCTGGATAGTTTTCTAAAACTGTGTTATTGTAATGATTAACAGCAGTATTAGTATGAAATAACCGGAGTCCGTTTGGACATAAACGATTTGCTTCAGCTTTTGTGAAAAATCTCGATTCAATGAGGTCTAACTCGGACTGTTTTAAAACGTCTCCGTTTCCAATTTTCGTAAGAATTGATGAAAATGTAGCATTGGCTTGTCTCATTATTTCTGTTAATTCAAAAAATTTGAGACCTCGCCACAAATGTGGACCAACCATCCGTGTTTTAATTGGTTTATAAATTAATGTAGATCTTACTGGTGGAGCTTGACGCAAGTCACCTATTAAAATGATATCAATACCACCAAAATCAGCAGTTTTATTTCCGGTAATTTGTTTCAAACGCATATCAATCTTAGCTAAAAGTTCTGCACTAATCATACTGATTTCGTCAATAATCATTACTCTCACGTATCTAAAGAGAGATCTGTATAAATGCAACATTTCCGATGATAACGGCAATAGTTTTGAAATCGAAATTTTAAGAGCAGTGTGAACTGTTGTTCCATCTATCGCCACAGCAGCTTTTCCAGTAGATGCGCAAGTTATATATGCATTGCAGTAACCATCAGTGTTAGTAAAACGATTGTAGATGTCCATTATTAGTCTTATTACAAAAGTCTTACCACTACCAGCTGGACCAGTGAAAAAAATTTGAAATGGCTGAGTATCTGGAGTTTGCAGATGAGATATAATATGCATTAAGAGCTCTTTTTGCTTACTATTCGTTGATCTCATAAGTTCATTAAACTGTTTTGTGTCCATCAGATTTTCTCTTTTTTTTGCGATGGCGCCGAGTTTTTGGATTGTGGCGTTTTGTATGTCAGCATTGATGGAAGAGTCAACATCTTGCAGTAGCCTTTCATATGGATCATCATTAAATAAGACTCTGGCCTCATCTCTAAGCTGTTCACCTTCATTGTCATCATCGTCATATCTGCCTAATTGTCTGCAAATTTCAAGGGTCTTTTCTATGTCCAAGTTCGATTCAAATTCTTTTCTGCGTTGTAATATGAGGTCTTTATTATCTTCATAAATTTTAATAAATTTATTTTCAGCAAGAATTTCATAGTCTTCACTTCTAAATGGAATGTAAAGTAACACCATTTCTCTTCTGTAATCATTGAAATCTTTTGCCATGTCATAATTGCGATATCTAATAATTCTTGGCTGTTTCCTTTTTCTGAACTCTCCTTTTTTATTTTTATCATAATTTGCGACAAATTGAGCTAATGTTACATCTTCTAAAGTATTAGGTCTTTTTTCATATTTGTCAAACCAATTATCTTTCCAAATATTTGTACAATCGTCACCTAACTCGCTTAACTCTTTCATTGATTTTCTTATTCTTTGACGTTCGTTCGGATAAATGGTTGGAATGTAAGCAGATATTATAGATGCTTTTGCCATTGGTTCTCGCAGTAAATACCAAGCTGCTTCTTGTGCTGGCATTTCTACAGAATTGAGTATATCAATACTTAATTTTTTAGTGATATCAACGATATCAAACTCAGGATGCTCGTCCATAGTTTCAATAATTAATCGTTGTAAATTACTGATGCCTCTATTATGTTTATTAACATACTCAACGACATAAGCAGCACAAGCATATTCGTCTTGAATAATTTGAAAATCCATATTAGATTTTAAACAATGAAATACAAATGGATTAAAAGGATTATGCCACTTTTCAGTTGGCAGCCTTTTGTAAAATAACTTTGGTCGAACAATGCCAGCACAAATAATATCGTGATAATGTTGATCTGAGATAATATTATTTTTCGAATAAAACTCATCAAAATCTTTGTAATCAAAATTAGCTAAATTATTTGTAAGTAACTTGTAATGTCTCTTATATTCTTGAAATTTTTCAACAGAGTAATTTGAATCTGTATTTTTCATTGGCCGTAACGTTATTGTCCTCCGAAATGGTAAGAATGGCGCTCCAAAACGGCAATTGTTTTTTTTTGCAGGATTCATGTTTTTGTAACATGTAAAAGTGTGTTTGTGTGTTTGTAATTTAATATTTCCGGATGCCTCTGATTCAGATACCGAAATTAATGAGTCTACCATTTCGATAAAATCTCGAGTGTTATTTAGTAAATCTTCAGGCGCATTATCAAACCATAAAAGTATATGAGCATGTGGACTTCCTCGATGTTGAAATTCAATACGTTTAAAAAAATGACACACTCTATATTTACCAAATGGATTGCCTCTTTTACTTTGTAAAATACTCATTAGGCAATTTACTAGCTTGTTGAAATAAATAGCACAAGTAATTGCATCTTCATTAACTAGTTCAGCTTTTTGTACATAAGACATTTTTGATAAAAATTCATCACAAATATCCACTCCATTATTTTTAAGTTTATATAGTATTTTTAGTAAATCTGTCCATCCTGTTTCATTTGCACTAAGTGTCATGAAAGCAGTCGGTGCTCCTAATTGCCTAATCATAGCAAAAAGTTCTTTTTTCCGTTCAGTCCAATACCAAGCAGAGTTTGGTATACATCGAAGAAATGCGAGATTACTTTCTATACAACAATTAATGTATTCTTCAGATTGAATGTCTGCTTTAGTAATTTTAGTATTGCTTCCAACATGTTTAAAAGCAACGTTTACAGAGCTGCTAACTCGTTGTCTCATAATTTTTGCTGCTACATACAAAAGATGTTGAGGGTCTGTGGCACGGCGATCTGCACGTCGTAGTTCGCTGGTAGCTTGCATAAAAGAAGTTACATTGCATCCCTCTTTATAATTTCTGAACTGTCCACCATAAATCGTAGGGTATGAAAGCTCTTCAGCATACTGGTCAAATAAAAGACTTTTTGGGGCACTTTTTTCGCCTGGTGCCATTAGTAACATTTCATCTTCATTCCATAACATAGTTTGTTGCTGAGCAGTCAGATTATCTTCAATTGGAACATGTTCACTGTATTCTTCAATTGAAATATCATTATTAATTTCAGTATCTGAATAATTATTCAGAAATGCTTCACTGATGGTAATATTTTCATGAATGTAAAGTGGTGTTTTTACCAAATAAGATAACCATTCTTTGATGTTCTTTTTACTAACTAGCCCATGGACGTAGCTGCTTTTATGAATTAATTTTTTTTTTAAATGAACATAAAAACAATGATCATCTTCGAGATTTCTGGGTAACTGCTTTACCATAGTATCAACTTTAACAGGAACATTAATTATTTGTCCATAAATACCATACTGTCCATTCATGTGCCTCAATCTCCGTATCTGCATAAATGGTATTCTTGGTGAAATTAGCCGCTGTTCAATAATATTTAATTTAGGCAAATGAAGTGGAATTTTTGGGTATGAAAAACCGTTGTACGTTGATAATAATGGGATTTTTCCCTTGTCTAAAGCACTTCTACACGTTGAACAGATTTTAAAAGTGGAACCAATATTAAAATTCTAAAAAAAAAATTAATGTAAATTTTAAAAAATTTGAAGAAAAATAATATTAAAAATTAATGAAATTGTAATTATAAAAAAAAAAAATTACCGGCAATATATTCTGTAGAATATCTGCATGAGCATCAGTCGTATTCTTTAGATCACCTTTCCACCAAAGCCTATTACAAACAGCACAGGAATGTCCGAAAGAATTGTTTTTAAATTTACGGTGAAATTGTAAGTGACCATTCGCATGTTCATAATAGCGTGTGTAAATTGGTAAAGTAACTGTAGCTTCGTCAATTGGCATGTTTTCTTCGTCGTTATTATTGCCATCGTCATTGTTTTCGCAATCTACATTATCATCATCGTTGTTAACACTATTTAAATCTGTTTCAATAGATAGATCAACCATTTCATGATCATTAACTCTATCGTTCGAAATAAATTGGCCTACTTCAATGTATGGTGTGAAATGGTTGTTTTGTAAATGCAGATGAATGAAATTTGATGAATAATTTGATTTAAAATGACAAAATATGACATCTGATTTTTTAGAGACGCTGTTAAAAAAATGAAAGTGCACGCAGATGTTTTGATTGTATTCTTTTGAAAAAATAAATATGCAGTCCAAATCTCCATACTCAGATGCACTACTTAATATTGTCTGAGCACTAGATGGACTTTGGCATGTGTGCAAATATTCTGATTGTAGGAGTAGCTTTCTTAGTTCTAGCGAGGAAATTGATAAGTTCATTACTTTAATTAAAGAATAGAAAAGACAATTTCCATCGCCAGGAATGTCGAAAAATTGATTTAAAATAATATTCGGCATTGAACAATTTTGACCTTGCTCGTAAGTATCGAAATTAAATGAGTAATTTGGGTTGTCAATAGACCTGCAATTGAAAAAAAAATAAAAAAAAATGTTTACTTTTCAAAAATAATATAAAATCAAATAGACTCATTAATAATAATTTACATTTGTGTAGTAATGGTTTCTTTTTTTTTCTTCAGTATACCAGATTTCGGTCCTTTTTGAATACTATAATTTTAAAATTTAATCATTTATAATGTAAAACAGCGCAATAATAAATTTTAGACAAGAGCCTAGCTGGTTAAAGTACGTATAAGTGGTAATTTTATACCTAGGAATTTACTCAGGACCCTTGGAATAAGATAAAGGTTTTAAAATATCAAAATTTAATTTTTTGAAAAATATATATTAAATGGTGGTTACTCACTGGGGAACTATTACTTATTACATACATTAATTGGCTAGACTCATGGTAAAATTTTAAATAACTAAAAAAATATTATACCTCTCAAGTTTATCACAATCCAATGCTTTTTTTTTTCTTTTTGTCGCAGCCTATACTCTTTGCAACATTGTGCATTTGATTTATTATTAACTTTTTTTTTTTTGCTCTTATTAAGTTCCTTTTGTCGCTGCCGGTATTCTTTACAATAATCTGCATTTGACTTTTTCATTTTTTTTTTTGGATAAACTTATTATTGTAGCTCTATATTAGGGCGCTTCAGGACATCATATGACTGCCAGTTATCAATTCTGTTTGACCGAAAAATTATATGCGGCGCATGTGGGCGGGGCATAATGTCAATGATCAATTCTGATTGGTTACTGTCGCTTTTTTCTGTCGCTCCAAAATTTTACACTTTTTTTCTGCAGCCCTCATGCGGAAACCGTAACCCGCGATAAGGAACTTCGTTCCAA